CTAAAAATATATAGAAAAAAACGAGCCGGGCGTGGAGGCGCACGCCTGTCGTCCCAGCCACTCGGGAGGGAGGGAGGCCGAGGCGGGAGGCTCGCTCAGTCCCAGGAGTCGGAGGCCGCCGCGGCGCTCGCTCCGGCCCGGGCCCTGACAGAGGGAGGCTCCCGTCTCAGATCAAGACTCAGAGCCCCGTCTGGCGCGGCGACACGGGCCGTCGGTGTCCGGCCTCCGCGGGCCTCTCCCGGCCTCGCCCCGGGACGGTCACCCCCCCGTCGCCCCCTTTTCCCCCCAGATGTTCCTGCTGGTCCTGCGCGCCCTGCAGCTGGCCGCCCGGCTGGTGCTGTCCCTGCAGCCCGTCCCGCTCAAGCCGCCCGCCCAGGTGAGGTTCCGGAACCTTCCGGAGAGGAACGGGGCGTTGCGGTGGGTTTGTGTTTTTTTGTTTTTGAGGCCGAGTCTCGCTCTGTCGCCCGGGCCGGAGCAAGTGCCATGGCGTCAGCCTCGCTCACGGTAGCCTCCACCTCCTGGCCTCTAGTGATCCTCCCGCCTCGGCCTCCCTCCCGAGTAGCTGGGACGACAGGTGTGCGCCTCCATGCCCGGCTCGTTTTTCTATATTATATATTTTTAGTTGTCCAATTAATTTGTTTCTATTTTTTTAAGTAGAGACGGGGTCTCGCTCTTGCTCAGGCTGGTTTTGAACTCCTGACCTCGAGTGAGCCTCCGGCCTCAGCCTCCCTCCCAAGTAGCTGGGACGACAGGCATGCACCACCACGCCCGGCTCGTTTTTTTTCTACATATTTTTACTTGGCCAATTAATTTCTTTCTATTTTTATAGTAGAGACGGGGTCTCGCTCTTGCTCAGGCTGGCCTCCAACTCCTGGCCTCGAGGGATCCTCCTGCCTCGGCCTCCCTCCCGAGGAGCTGGGACTACAGGCACGCGCCACCATGCCCGGCTTGTTTTTTCTACATAGTTTTAGTTGTCCAATTAATTTCTTTCTATTTATAGTAGAGACGGGGTCTCGCTCTTGCTCTGGCTGGCCTCGACCTCCCGACCTCGAGCGAGCCTCCCGCCTCGGCCTCCTCCCAGAGTGCCGGGACGACCGGCGGGAGCCCCCGCGCCCGGCCTGGGGTGATGCTTTCACAGGACCGCAGAGGGCTGGCAGCGCCGTGGCCCCGTCAGGCCGTCTCTGTCTTATCAGCCAATAAAAAGAAAACCAGGCTCGCTCGAGGCCAGGAGATCGAACCCAGCCTGAGCAAGAGCGAGACCCCGTCTCTACTAAAAAATAGAAAGAAATTAATTGGGCAAGTAATACAGAAAAAAACGAGCCGGGCGTGGTGGCGCATGCCTGTCGTCCCAGCTACTCGGGAGGGAGGCCGAGGCAGGAGGCTCGCTTGAGGTCAGGAGTCGGAGGCTGCTGTGAGCGAGGCTGACGCCACGGCACTCGCTCCGGCCCGGGCGACAGAGCGGGACTCTCATCTCAAAAAAAAAAAAAAAAAAAATGACAAAACCCAAATCCTTCCTTTGCCTCAGGGCAAGAAAACCTCCAAGGCGAGGCCCACGCAGGAGGCCGGAGGCCCAGGAAACCGCCCCTCGGGCCCCGGAGGGAAGCGCAAGAGCAAGAGCAAGAAGACAGGCGGCCTTGAGCCTCCAGCCTCCAGCCAGGGGGTAGAGGCCGGCCGAGGAGGCCGGGGAGGCCGGAGGCTGCGGCGGGCGGCGGCCTCCACGGCCTCCTACCGGGAGCAGAGCGGCAGTGAGGACGAGGAGGACAAGGCCGGCAGCGGCTCCGACGGGGAGGCC